AGAGTTGGGAACTGCAACAACTGTAAGTATCTGGGTATCCCTAGTGAAGAACAGACAAGAGGAATACAGAAATATACTCCATCTCAGAAGATAGAGAAGATACTTCACCATTGTCTGTACATTTACAAGATTTTCTGCCCCCCCTTTTAACCCATTCTGCAGTCTCCATCTTCTTCTTTCACAATGCTCTATTCACTGTGGACAGCTGTGAAGGACCAGAGAACAGAAAACTTTCTGACACCACTAGCCCTTGTCTGCCTGCTGATTGTATAGATTTGTATAGATGGTATTGGCCTTCTCAACATATGAATTAGGTTTCTGTTTTTGTAAACTACACTGAGCATTTCCTAAATTATTCCCAAAAGTGAAAAATAAAATGGAAACAATATCTACTGCACTGGCAAAAAGCTAAATGTTTTCACGTTCTCCCTTTCTCCTACTTCATTCCCAATTTAAAAATCTTTGTGAGTAAATGCTGCAGTTGTTGCTACGACTATTTAAGGATTATCATTATGTCTGTGTGCTGTTCCTATAAACATGAAACTTTAAAGACATAAAGCAGTAAGACAGACACCCTTGGTTCGTCTGTTCAGACAGAGTTATTGAGGCATAAATAGTGTGCTGTATAACACCATGAAATGATCTAGGAGTGCCTACAATGCACAGGTACAATGAGACCTAGAAAAACAGAATACTCTGTTAACACAGAGAACCAGCACTACCTGATTTCCTTGTCCTGGTCTTACAGAGCTTTGACAAATGACACAGGATTTTCCCCTTCTGCAGGATGGAGTTCCATACGTGACTACCTCAGAGGAATATGCAAAGCTTGACTATTAACATTCAAAACCCACAGATTTTCACTTTCATTATTCTCTCCTTCCTCTCTGGTCGCCAAAAGTTTTCACCTAAATGCAAATTAATTTTAAACTGTCACAAAAATAATTAATTGCGGCATTTCATCTGTTTTTGTTTTAGGAGTATGAAAACTATATGGAAGTCCATAAAAAAACATATGCTAAATGATCCCTCCTGAGTCACTAAGTCACTGTGGTCCATCACTGCATATTTAATTACATTTTAAAATAAAAGAATATACTTGAATTGATAGAGAATAATGGCTGCTTTGGTGCTGCTGTAGACATTCATATAAAGACTTAAAGAAACACATGGATTACTGACCTGACAGGCCATGCCAGTAACCTAAAAAAGCCATTATGGTCTCTACTGTGAATTCTTATTTCATGGACCCCTGATACAATGGATGGAAACAGGATAGAGGTTTATAATAGAAATGCTGACACAACCTTACCTTTAGCTGTACAAATGGTGTTTCTATAATTAAACCTCACAACTTCAGCACCACTAGATAAGTTGCTAGTTTTTAATCATATTAATCAGAGCTTCATGTTTCAATTGCCATATATTATCATGCAGTGTGAACTATAAAAATAAAAAGATCCCCAGCCGCTAAATATCATAGCTGTTATGAAACACAGAAGTACATCCAAACACTTCTCTGTAAGGGCAAATACACTGAAGGAAAACCTCAGCTGATTATCCTTTTTTTTTGTTGTTTTTTTTTCTTAATACATGGGTTCAGCATAATGGCCACAGAAAGTACTTAGAATACATTACAAGAATATCACTGAATATTAAAAAGGTTTCATTAAGATCTGCCCTGTTTCAAATTTTTCTATCAGCACGAAAACAAGTCTGCTGTTTTCTATGACAATGACGGTCAGAAGCCTGCTCTTTCAGAGGAAGGCACTGAGATTATTCTTCATGCACTGCTGTTTTCTTTAAAAGCCAGCTCTCCAGCAATAGCGAGGAGTGGGTGGCCAAACTCTCACTGCTTTCAGTGGTCTGAGATTTGGAGCCTGGGAATGTTTTATGTAAATATTTCTCTTCACATTTTCTCTTCATTTGTCCGAGTGATTTACAGCTTTACTTCAGCAAGGAAAGTTTCCTCTCAAAAAAGCTACATTTGGTGCAAACTGAAGAGATATTGCATTGGAGCTGAAACCTTCTCTTTTTACCAAGTGGGCATTATTAACTACAACAATAAAATTAATCTATAAATAAAACTTGGTTGCTTACTATTCTCTATTGTCCTGAATTTGCAAATCCTTGCATGCTGCATGCCACTTTACATGTATCATGTGATATATTCCCACACTGTCAGTGCCTGCTCCTCTACAGCACCAGTTTTATAACACCTTCTGGAGACAATTGTGCTTTCTTTTAAGATGGGTGGTACAGGTATGTAACCTGTGTGTCACAAGGGGTCCCGTAAGGAATCAATGGAAAGAGCATGCCTGTAATTTTTTTGTGGCAGAGAGTATGCAATGGACATTTCTGAAAATTATAAGAGCTGTAGCAATGCATAGGAGTTGCCATAGTGTTATTCTGACCCCTGAAGGATGGAAACAGAGTTAACTTCATATCCTTTTTTTTCCAATTTATTCAGTATACTCTATGAATGTCAAACTCTAAACTGCATTAGCAGGATTTTTTAGTGCGTGCCCAGACCTATCCTCAAGAAATATGAATATAGTCATGAACTAATGGTGAACCAAGTTTAAAATACTGATGTTTTCAGGGAAGCAGGAAAAAATGATTTTTCAGGCAGCTGTAGGGTAGAATTACTGCGAGTTTGATAGTGCATTAAATCTAGTAGGTATGTGAAGATCATGTTTATCAGATGTAAAACCCACTGCCCTCACCTCTTAACTGAAAAGTATTTTAGTGACATTTTGCTAGAATGAATTCAGAGTGAAGTGGGAAGGACACAGGTCAGTGACGATAAGATCACTCATTTCAGCTGAGTTAAGATTTCATCAGGCTTACATTTTTCAGAAAATGCATGTGTTAGAGGTATGGGCCCTCAGCAGTGCCTTTGTGAGCTTATCCATCTCCAAGGAGTGCTCTTTCCCCTCCTCCCCCTGAACGGATAGGAAAAGTGATTCAGGATTCTAAAAGGGGCATTAAGGTATACCCTGATGCCGCTGTCTTTGAGGACAATTTGCTAAAAAAGTCTGAGTTAAACCAATGGGACTCCTGTTACACCTTTGCTTTTCACCCACTCACTTCTCAGATGCTTGAAATGCGCTAAAGGACCACCTTTTCTGTTCCTGTAAATGTAACAGGTGTATGAAGCTGTTGTATCTGACAATACTTTTTCCTCACGTCAGTCACACGCTGTACTGTAAGACACTGAAGCGGCACCCTGCCAAAGCTGGGAGCAGTCGGTGCTCACAGCCAGAGACACAAGGCTGGCTGTGCTGGGAGCCGCACACACCCGGCCAGGGAGCACAGCCCTGCCTCTTGCACTGGGAGAGAGGTCAGAGGAACGCCGCTCCTGGAGGCAGGAGACGGCGAGGGGAGAGGAGGAGGATCGCTTTTAATTTTCGGTTTTGTTCCTCCTCCGCTCAGCTGTTGCCATGCACCCAAGTCCCAGGTTGCGGTGTGACCTTGCAAAGCAGCGCGCTGCTCAATGGGACCATTGTGCAGCCTTGCCGGGGCTCCTCGGAGCCTCTCCCGGGTGTGGCTGAACCAGCCTCCCCCTCCTCCTCCTCCTCCTCTTCCTCCGTGAACTCCCTGTCCCGGGGAAACTCCGCCAGCAGCACGCTGATGCAAAAGGCAGCCTGCAAGAGGCAAACCCCTTGTCAGGAGCCGAGCAAGGATCTCCCCTCCTCTGCCCAGGTCTCCATCCCTCGCTGCCGGGAGCGCTACAAAGTTAAGCCAAGTGATCGATACGCTATAGGAGCATATTATTCCACTATCGGCGACTGATGCCACTGATGTAATCAAGTTACATAATCACCGTCTTTGCACAAATACATCCATCTTCCTACAGACAGATCTGCATATCTTCTTCCATCCATTATGCATGAACTCACCAGCAGTACATAAGGGTACATATTTTCGCACGCACTATGTAACTTTAGCATTGCAGTGCATTGCACTGCACAACGTCATCACTATCGATTCCCTCAACCTTCCCCCATTCCCTCTTATCAGAACTGATTTTGCAGAGAGAGAATACCAATCTGCATTGCTCGGATCCCTTTAAATCTTTAAAGGCTCAAGTGCTTCCCTCACTCGCTTCTGTTCTTAAGAAGATGATCTTTCCTTTTTCTCTCGTCTCGCTTCACACCACAAGTAACAGGAATGAATTCCCACACAGTCCCTCAGCCAGATGCATGTATGTATGAAATACCGAAGATAGCATCTCTGTTTGCACATCTTCCAAACTCCCATACACGTGGTCCGAGGTTTCAGTAGGTAAGTTATTGGGTAAAAAAGATATTTTGTAAGAGCAACTGGATGAGATATTTTCGGGCTAGTGACATTTATGGTATTTCTCTACTATGAAGCTGAGGGGATTTTGTCCTTACCGCCCCTCAGTTTATAATTTCCTTGCAGGATTTACAGGAACAGTTGTAATCTCAAATTACCAATGGCATTTAACCCCTTTAGCACCAATGCACTGTATCACGATCAATAAGGATCACCACCTTAAAGTTTAACAACTTGAAAAGCAGATTTTCTCTACCTCCATTGCAGCTATGAAATGCAGCAGAACGCTGCACAGAGTTGGAAACATCTGTTTAAGCAGAGGATAGGATCCGATCTCATATTAATTAGATTCCATCACAGAGAGCTTATTTGCTGTCACATACCCTTTCCAGTCAAATATATTACAACCAGGGAAATAAAAAATAAAAAGAGGGAAAATTAAAGACTCCTTGCTCTTGCAGTACTCTCCCAAATCCAGAGGATGCATGAATACAGAGGGAGGAGATTTTTTTTTTTTTTTTTAAATTTATCGCAAAAAGCACTCACCAGAAGACCTACTGCAGTTATTCCACTCAACTGCCAATAGCGGCTGGAGCCCCTCGCATCAGGGTAATGCAGCAATCCCGAAAGTGCCCATTTCAGTCACCCGCCACCAAGTTTAGCAATGCCGGGCTTTTGCCTGGATAAAATGACCTTACCCACAGGAGTCTCCCGAAATATTCCTCCGGTGCGATGGGTCAGCGAGGCGAGTGCCGGTCACCACACTGCGCACTCGGCCGGAGAAGCCCCGTGTTTACTCCTGGGGCTCAGCTGGCCGCGAGTGCCGCGGACGCGGCGCCCATCCATCCAGCGCTGCCAGCTCCGCCGCGGGCGCAGGTAATTCCATACAGACTTCGGCGCCCCCCACCCCCCCCGAGTCGCCCCTTCCTTCCTAGTTCAGAAAGTGCCCG